CACCATGAGGTTTTTTTTTTTTGCTTTTTTTTTTTGTGCTAGGGGCTGTGAAATCTTGGAACTGCTGGTTCCCTCTGCCTGGAGCAGCCTTCGCAGGAATCCACATGCTCACCCCCTCAGATCTTCCCAATGGAGCCATTTTTGGAGCTACTGCTTCTCCGCCCTGGCTTCCTGGCTCTTTTCCCACCCTGTCACTTTCCATGTGTTTTACACACACACACACACACACACACACACACACACACACACACACACACGTGTTAGCTCTCACATGACTAGGTGTGAGTTCTTCTGACAAGGAAGTGGGGTTATCTCCTTGTAGTAAGGTTACAAACTCAATGCCTATCATCAAGCTGATGCATTGAGGATGCTCAGGATTTGTTGAGTGAATTCAGAAACTATGTATTTATACCTAATAACAGCGACACTTGTCTTAAATAAACACATCCCAAACCACTAATGCCAGGTACAGTGTGAACTGCAGGGGTCCAGAGGAGGCTCGCTCCTTTCCCTTCTTAGAACTTGGCCTCTTCCGACAGAAATCAGGAGGAAAGCCCGGGCCAGTCCAGAAGTCCCCAGCATACAGTGTTTCTGGTCTCCCGGAACCAGGCCTATGCCCCTGTGCCTTTCTCTAGCCAGCAGATTATCCAACCTCAAAGCAAGAGGTTTTGGGGGCCCCAATTTGGATATCAGAGAAGTAGGTATGAGGCATAGAATCACTTTCCCAGGACCTCAAGCCTAGCTCTGCGAGGCCAAGCAGGGCAGTTGGATTTGTTTTCCAGGCTGCTTGCAGGAGTGGGATCCTCGGTTGCCATCAGAACTACAGGCCGTGCCCCAGGGAGGCAGCTGGGCTGGGAGCTCCTAGCAGAGGCGACTTCAGTTTCATTGTTGTGGTGTTGCACGTGACTGTGGTCTTGTCAGGAGGGCTTCATGGCGGTCCTCCACTGTCTTAGTTAGGGTTACTATTACTATAATGAAACACCATGACCAAAAGCAAGTTGTGGAGGAAAGGGTTTATTCAGCTTGTACTCCCACATATCTGTTCATCACCAAAGGAAGCCAGGAACAGCGCAGGAATCTGGAGGTGGGAGCTGAGGCAGAGGCCATGGTGTGTGTGTGTGTGTGTGTGTGTGTGTGTGTGTGTATGCATGCGCACACTGCTTACTGGCTTGCTCCTCATGGCTTACTCAGTTTGCTTTCTTATAAAACACAGGACCACCAGCCCAAGGATGGCACCACCCACCATAGGCTGAGCCCTCCTCCATCAATCACTAATTAAGAAAATGCCTTACAGGCTTGCCTACAACTCAGTCTTATGGAGGTATTTTCTCATTGAGGCTCCCTCCTCTCAGATGACTTTAGTTTGTGCCAAGTTGACACAAAACTATCCAGCATGTCCTAGAAGAGCAAATGCTGCTACTGTCCCAATGGGGAGGCCACATGAGTGGAAAGACAGTCCCTTTAGGAGGCTCCGAACCCCACCTCTGTCGTGTTTTAGCATTGTCTGTAAAATAACAGCATTTCCCTAGGGGCTTCGTGGCTGCATGAGCCGCAAGCTGGGAGGTGGAGCATTCAGCTTCTCTTTAACCTGGTCGAAGACACCTGCCCTTGGGGGTGGGGAAAGGAAAGAGGTGGGGCAGCACAAGTTCTGGATTTGCAGAGGTAGGTGTACAAACCCAGTGGGACCAGACCTATACTCCTGGATCTGGGAGCCTGGCATGGCCTCTGACACTCTATGTGACCTTGGGAAAGGCTCCAGTCTCTTCTGCTTGGTAAAATCTGCAAACCTCAATAGGCTGGGCCGGGCTATTCTCTTTCAGGATGCTTTCCTTCCTGCTGGAGTGGAGGTGTTGGGACTGTGGCAGCTGGAGACCCTGGGCGGGAGGGGGGGGAAGAGACTCTTCCTTGCTTCTTCAGATCCTATGGCTATGGCCACCCTGCTCTCTGAGGCTCATGGCATGTCGCTCTAGAATGTGTCCCCTCCTTTCTTTTGGAATGGACCGAGGGCCCACTCTGCTCCAGTATAACCCCACGTTAACCCCTTACTTCTGCCAAGACGCTGTTCTCAATGGGCCCACACTGTGGACTTCCTTCCACACGGATCTGTGCTTTCCTGGGAGATGCACTGTGATCCCCCTGTGACAGTGACCTCACCCCGTTGTCACAACACCCGGCTCCTTATTGTTCTAGATGAGAACACACAAACGGAGGAGCTAGTGAACCTAACCCAGCTTCCTCTGGCCATGAAGTGGTGAGCCAAGGTGTGAGCCAGGAGCCTGGCCCACAGTTGCACAGTTGTCTTGCTGACACCAGAACTCCCCCCCCCCTTTAGAGTCACAACCTCTCCTGGAGATGTTCTTGCTTAGAGAATTAACTTTCCATATTACAGATAGAGAAACTGAGATCAAAGCCAGGGGAGGGAAGAGTGATGTGGCTCTCTCAGGTCGCGCGGGGACTGCTCCTACAACTGTCACATCTCAGTGGGAAGCGGATGAGAGAAGCCAGACACCATCGGTACTCACACGTGAGTGTGCCAGTATGAGATGCTGGAGAGAGGCAGAAGGAGAGACAGAGATGGGTGGCTACCAGAAGCTGTGGGAGGAAAGGAATCCGAGGTGACAGCTAATGGGTCTGGGATCTCACTCTGGGATGATGAAGATATTCTGGAATTAAATTATGGCGGTGGTTGTGCAATTCTGTAAAGAACTAAAAGCTGAAATGGGGGAAATGTGGGCATACGGATTACATCCCAACACAATTTATATGAGTGTATCAGCGTCATTTCACTAAAGGCATCATAAGTTGAAAACAGTAGGAACGAGCAGTTAGTGCTGCACATTGATGCCGCCCAATGCCTCAGCCTGGTGGCACAGCTCTCTAGTGTGCTGCGTCCCCCATGACTGTGACTCTGGAGCCAACCCTGGGCGTGGTGTCTCTCTGCCCAGGGCAGAGACTCAGATGTATCACCAGCCTGGGAAAAGATTCTGACGGGACAGTGGAAGCCCAGTGCATTCATAAGGTTGAAAATGTCCAGGAGGAACAATTGTAAACAGGGGACCTCTGTACTCATGAGGGCCCTGAGACAGTTTGTGTATTGTGGCGAGAGCAGACCCTGGTGTAGAAGCAATTCGTGGGAGAAGCTACCTGGAGGTCCTTTCTGTGGTACTTTGTAGTTCTTGTTGGTTAAGTCCTGTACACCTCAGAGTCTTTGGGGCTCCCTAATATGTTCCTTAAGAACTGAAGACCCCAGTAAGCTCCTGATCTTTCCGATTTCCACGGAGAGGGGTGAGGTCTGGTGTGGTGAGGATGAAGCCCTTAGTTCTTAGCTCTGTGTGAAACACTCCATGGGCCTGGGTTGGCCTAAGCCTGGACTCAGCCAAAACCCACAGACTTTAGCTCTCAGTCATTGTTATTGTCAACTCCTGACCACTATTGCTCATCCCTGACCCCCCACATCCTCCCTGGTTCCGGATGAGGGATCAGGGCTATGTGAGGCTTGGCAGTGAGGTCAGAGACTGGGTAGCAAAGAGACAGAGGGATGCACTGCTGAGTTCTATGAAGCAGAGCCTCCACATTCTGGACTATGAAGCCTGGGCTTTTTTGGCTTCCTACATCAGCGAGCCATCATCCGTGTGCACTGCCTGAGTTCCTATGGGGTCATCTGGCATATAGGTAATATCTATTCACTTGGCCTTGACTGCCCTGGCTGGAGCAGATAGATGCAGAATACCTGCTCTTGACTGACTTCCTGAGGCCTACCAGGAACTCTCCCCACGGATCTTCCTGGAGTCCAGAGAGAGACCTACGTAGTGGGAGAAGGGTGGACAGCGCCACATCTAGTTCTGACTGCTGAGATTGTGGTTCTAGTCCCTGGCTTCTCTAGGATCACAAACAGAGTTGTGCCCTACATGGTTGGTTTGTCATGCCTACATGTTTATCCCCTGGGGCAGGAATCTCCCTCAGGCGCTTCAGAGGTCGGGTACAGAGTGTGGGGTGTAGGCTGATGAAAGGAATGTCACTTGAGAAGTGGAACATCTCCCGATATCTGCCCAGACATTTGAGTCCAGTGTAGCCAGAGGGTTGAGAATGAGCCAGATAGACTAGTTGGAGCCAGCAGGGTAGACAGGGGCCAGATTATCAAGGGTCTTGCAAGCCATTTATGTGAACATGTAGCTTTATTCTACGAGGGGTGAAGCATATAAAAGGTTACCTGTGGAGAGTATCATCATCACCATCACCACCATCAACACCAACCTCTGCAACAGCTTCATCACCATCCATCACTTATGCCATTACCACCATCATTGCACCATCGCCACCATTATGAACACCATCACTGCCGTTATGACCATCACAGATGACATACGTTGTACCAGACACTGTTCTAAACACTCTCCCACATGAACCCTGTTGGCAATTCTCTGGCTTGATTGCTGCTGTTGCTCCTTCCAATTTTAAAGTTGCCGTAACATGGATGAAAATCAAACGGGAGCCCAGGGCAGAACCAGAATCGACTCCGCATCTCCCTGACTCTGAAACTTGAGCTCCCAAGAGCTGATCCTATGAATGAAGAAGGAGAATTAGGGAGATGGCTGATAGTGGGGGTGAGAAGCAGTAAGGCATGATGGGTCCCAGAAAGACCCAGGAAACACGAGGGGGCAGAACCAGAAAGGAAGGCTTATCTTTCGGGGATGAAGAAGATGGACTCACAGACTGAAGTTCTGTTGGATGAACGAGTGGATGAATGAAGACATGGTGAGTGGAGGTGGTACCTGAATGGAATGGACGGAGATCCCCATCTCTGGGAATACACATGCAGTGGCTTTCGTCTTGATATCGGGCGGGATGCTCTTGATTTGAGGCAAAGGTCAAATGTAAGTATTTCATAGAAATGGATGACTGAACTTGGCCACCCCTGGCACTCTATGCTAAGACATCGAAAAGGGGTTCGGTAACTAGCTATCTGCGGACGAAAGCAGCATGGAGGAAAACACCCAAAATTCATTTTCTGAAAAATTATAATACGATTTATTTAATATATTTAAGTGTGCATATTTCAATGCATATTAATCTGTACAAATTGTGTGTTGTGAGTCATGCTTCCCCCACTTCTAACTCAGAAGGGATACTCCTGGAGACCACTGATCTTCTCCTCAGGAACAGGCTGTGCTCCTCATCTCCCGAGACTTTCGACTGCCGGAGTCAGTATCCCAGGTCAGGACTCAGGGCTTCAGGAAGTGTGACACAGTCAAACTTCTATACAAACACAGTCAAACACTATACAAAACTCATCTGTTTGTTCCAGTGCGCAGAAGAGGTGAGTGTTTACACGGAGCCCTCCCCTCTCATCGGCAGCCCAGTCACTTCCTCTGCACAAGCACTCACAGGACACGACTTCTCACCAGGGTGTCCACACAGCACAAAGGGGGCTTTCCTCCTGCAGAGACCCAGGTGAAGACCCTTCAGCCACCCTGAAGAGGCCAGGCTGTGTTCCTGAAGCCCACAGCCCACCAACATCTCTTCTGAGAATTGGGCCCTGCTTATCATTTATATATGTTATAGTATGGCCGTGGCTGGGTTCCGTTCTAGCACAGAATTCTAGCATCCGCTTTTTACACCACTTGTTTTTCTTTCCTGGCTACAAGTGTTAAGTTTACTGGGGGTGGGTGGGGGGTGGAAAAGGCATTTCTCCGAGGTCTTCTCTGTCAGGATTCAAGGTTTTTTGTTTTGTTTTGTTTTGTTTTGCCACATAAGCGCTCCCTTCGTAAACACTGCGGCCAGCGTGGGTTTCTTTTGTGGGCCCCTTTCCTCTACACCCCTGGCTCCAACCTAGTCAGAAACACCATAGAACTCTGCTCGCTTCTCGAGTCTCCAGTTCCTGGGCTATTGGGTAGCCAGGTCCTAAGTGGCTTGGTGTTGGGGACTATGTGGTCTGTTCCTCATATCTCTCTGGGAACTTAGAGTACTGTTAGTCACAGGGGCCAGTTTGTAACGCCCTGTAAATTGTTACAGTTTGAGTCTGAAATTCCTCCTGCTCCTCCGCTCATGTTTTGAGATCCCATTTCCTGACTGCTGGCCCTATTTGGGGAAGCTATGAGACCTTTAGGGAATCAGATCTAGTTGGTGCAAGTCACCAGCTAGGGTCAAGCCGTGGACGGTCATATCCTGCCCCTGGTCTCAGTTGTGTCTGTTTACTGGTCCCTCCGAGGTAAGACGCCTCTGTTGTGTGCCCCAGTTACCATACTCCCCCTGCTACAGTGGACGGAAACCTTTTAGACACTGGGAGGTGAAGCTGCTTCTGCCAGGTAATTTGTCACAGCCATGAGAAAAGTCACTGATATGGACGCGTGGAAAAATAAACTCCTGTGGAAGATTCTGGAACTAGGAGTATGGAGTCTGACAACTGAGCCCACCCATGGCTCTTGGAGTAGGTTCTCACGGGGAATCCAGTGACCCTGAAGCCACCTGGAGCAGTTCTCTCATCTATAGTGGAAGACCTGTCCAAGGGTCAGGTGTGTTGTCCCCACCCCAGGGGGTGTTTCTCAAGTCAGAGTTTTCAGATAGCTCAGGCCACCCCTGCCATCACTCATAAGGCAATCTGTGGCCATGTAGAGAGTTGGGCCTGGAATCAAAGCCCTGGGATTAGTGACCTAGGGTAGGTCAGCTGCCCTCACAAATGTACATAGCTTCCACTACTTTATAAGCCACTCTTAACCTACTGATTGGCACCCCTTGGCCACTGAAACAGGGATCCTGTGAAGCAGGACTGCCCTGGACAATTACTGATTGCAGCCAGGCTGTGGACTGTGGATTCCCTGGGCTGATCCTGTGAGAATTCTTTTTCTTTGTCTCCTAGCAACACAAACTCTTGTAGTCTCCGCCATCCCTGTCTGCCAAATGCTTTTGAGAGACCCAGGTCCCAGAAAATCTCTGATCCGCAGCCTCCACACAAACCTCGAATGGCTAGGCTCCAAGCCTCAACCCAGGGAAAGAAACATAATCTAAAAACAGGACCAGACCCAGGGGAAGAGACACTTTGTCCCCAAACCTAGAGCCGGAAAAAAGCCCCCGAACCCTGAAACTAGGACCAAAAGAATGCACCAAGTCCCTAGATTTAGGGCATATCAAAGATATTTACCTTGGCCCCAAGATTAGGGTTAAAAAGGTAGAAAGAACCAGAGAAAGAAACACAGTTTGGACCCAGAAGCAGAGCCATTTCTGCCCCTTACTCAAAACCAGCCAATCCCTGAGCAGGGAAAATGGACCAATCAGAACCTCAGGCAGTTACTGGCAGTTTGGGAAGTTCCCTTAGTCCTGGAAATCCCCCTTACAACATTGAGAGGGCAGCCAATTCCAAGCCTGGAAGTCTGGAATTCCCCTTCAAGCCACTAGGGGGCAGCCAATCACAAGCCCCGAGGCTTGGAATGCCCAGAGCCTCTACCCCTGTATGAACTCCCATTTTTTTTTTTTTTTTTTTTTTTTGGCTGCTCCAGTCTCTTCTACACTGTTCCTGTTGCTACTGCTGTAGTTGCTGCTACTTCGGATGGATGGAGGGAACCGAGTTAACTCGTGAATAAAGACTCCTGTTTTTACATCGGAGGTGGTCTTGTGGTGGTGATTTGGGTTCCGGAATTCCGGGCGGGTGTAACACTTTATTGTGTGTGCATTGGGGTGGGGCACTAGGAGGGAAAGGTGGGAGGGAGGGTCTCCCACACCTGCAGGCACAGCCTATGTTTTCCAGCACTGATTATTCCCCATTGGGTAGTTCCTGAGCCTCGGTGACTGTCTCTGTGCCAAGCATCTCCATGTGAAGTGTGTTCTGATGCCGCACAGTCACATAACACCTGCCATTTGCCAAAGCACAAGACCCTCTCACATTATAGCAGAGGAAGCAGAGGCCAGGTCCAGGCCTCTGTGTTGTCCACAGGCTCAACTAGACCTGCTGCTTTCTGCTCCTTCCTTTCACAGTTCCTTGCATTCATACACCATCAGCAGCCTCCTAGGGACTGCAAGTCCTGGGCATCCTGCTTACATCAGGGTTCCCTTTAGACAGATTTTACTGTGACTCTCTTGCCTCTTGCCCACAGTGTCTAATGCTGTGTATTCAGCAAGTGCCCCATAACACTACGGGGTGGTGGGGGGTTTTTTCTCACTGTCTACCTTCTCCACGGGCGAGAGCAGTGACAGAACCCCAGTCTCTGGGTCCTTACTTGGGACTCCTCGGAGTTTAACCTCCAGAAGACCAAGGAATCATCAAACCATGAAACCTAGAAGCAAGTCAACCGGGTCTCCTGTGCATGCAGCCACAGGACAAACCTGGCAACAGCTTCCCTGGAGATCTGTCCTTCCCCCAGCCACCGTGGGAAGGAAGTGCTGTCACTTCCAACCCTACCCCAGGATCTCTCCACTCATGGGGCCTCAGAGTGCCAGTCAGTCAGAATCATCCCACTGTGTTCCAGTGTATCCATTCTTCACAGCACGCTCATGCCATGAGACAGGTCTGGAAGCACCCGCCTGTGCCTGTTTCGTCTGTTTCCCTGGGGCTGCCTAGGATGCTTCAAGCTCCTTCCTGCACCCAGGCTGAGTAGTCCAGGGTCCACCAGTCTTCACACGTCTTCAAAGTGGTCCTTCCTGGTGGCCTCTGTTCACTGTCTGTTCCCTGACCAATCCTGCAGCTTGTGGATCTGGCGCTCCACTGAGATAGAGGTCTTCAGAGTCCCCAGCGAGTTCTCCATCTGGATGGGTTCTCCCATGCAGCCTCCCCTCCGGCACATGGCTTGGTATACCTCCCGGGACTTCTTCCGGAAGCGCTTGCCCACAATCACGTACACCAGAGGGTTGAGGCAGCTGTTGCTGTAGGCCATGTAGGAACTGATCTGTGTGATGACGTCCACGGCATGCCTGACCCAGCATCCAGACAGCACGTTGAGACGAATCAGTGTGTCCAGGAAGGTACTGATCTGAAAGGGGACCCAACATATCACAAAGAGCCCCAGGACGGCCAGCACCAGCACAGTGGCCTTCCTTTCTGTCTGGATCTCCTTGAACTTTTTCATCTCGTTGTTCCTCAGCACCTGCATGATCTTCACCGTGCAGAAGGTGATGATGGTTAGGGGCAGCAGGAAGCCCACCAGGTTCAGCAGCACATTGGTGAATACCTCCCAGGAGGAGGACGGGTAGTCGATGACGCAGGCGGTGACGTTGAAGCCCTCTTCGTTGTACTTCCTCAGGGTCCTGAACATCAGCATGGGTGAACTCAGAAGCAGCGTACAGCCCCAGATCACCAGGCTGTAGATTTTGGCACAGCGCACCCCGCGCATCCGGCCCATGGACATGGTCTTCACTAGTGCCAGGTAGCGGTCGACACTCACAAGCATCAGGAAGCAGATGCTGCTATAGAGATTCATGTAGATCAGTGCGTTTACCACGCGGCACAGCACCTCTCCGAACAGCCAGTCGAAGTTGTTGGCGATGGTGATGGCCCAGAAGGGCAATCCACAGGCCAGGATGAGATCCGCCGCTGCCAGATTGCCCAGGTAGATCTCGGCCACAGTGCAATTGTTCTTGTGCAGGCAGAACACACTGAGGACAAAGATGTTCTCCAGGGCAGCCAGCAGGAAGAGGACCCAGAGGAAGGGTGCCTGGATGGCGTTGAGCCAGCTCAACCACTCGGTGTCTGGGCAGTCGCTATTCTCTGGAAGGCTCTTGTTAAGTAGGGTAGACCCGAGGACGTGTGTGGTGACGTTGAACATGTCAATGCTGAAAGAAAGTGGAAAAGAGACAGTTGCACCCTCAGGCTCCAGGGGGGTGGGGGAGGGGTAAGGAAGGGAGGAGAGAAGAGAAGGGGAAGGAAAGAGAAAGGGTGGGGGTACGGGAAGTGGGAGCAGGAGGGAGGAGTACAGAAGATGAGGGAGATCAAAATGTCTGTCTGCTCAGCTAGTAGCTCCCCAGGGCAGTGAGGATGTGGGAGGTGGCAAGACTCCAGGTCCCTCTGTGGACAGCACTAGGGGACACTTGAGAGAGCCCTTTGAGAGGCCTAAGAGGCTCATGGGACCAAAGGGAGATGGCATGCCTTGGTCTGAGCTCTGTAAGAATCCTTCCTTGGCCACACTAGCAGTCGTGAGTGCCGTCCACGATGGGCGGATCGGATGTGCACTCTGCCTTCTCCCACCACTTGCCTCAGGGTCTGTCACCCCTCAGCCTCTCAGAGCTGGTCAGGAATGAGCAATGAATCAGATTAGAACAGGGACGTCCTCCTCGGTGACCCAAGGACCACAACCGGTTCCCAGGACAACCTGTGCCTTCCGACAGAGAGAACATCTATGCCTGTGCCTGCTGGCGGGCAAGCATGAAGGTCAGCAGAGGTTGCATGGGAAGAGAGAAAGTGAGGCTTTGGACCTGGGGTCAAATCCTGGCTCCTTTATCAGTTAACTCTGTGACCTTAGACCTTCACTTAATGTCCCTCACCAATAAAATGGGAATAATAAAATATACTTCTTCGGATTGTAAGTAGAGATCTCAAAAGTCCCAAGCACTGTGGTTCACCGAACATTAGTAATGATTTATTTCTGCCAGCCTATTAAAATGGAACTCAGTGCCAAACTAGGACGACCATTTGCAGGCCCTTGGTAACCCCTCGACTGCGTTAACCCCTGAGCTCTTCTTTCACTTTTAGGTGACATTGGCACCCCACAAGGCAAGCCCCTTCTCAGAAGTGTTTAGAGTGAGAGAATTTATCTCTGTGTTCAGCCAAGAAGCACTCAGCTTGGACAAATGTTAGTTAGCTTCCAGTCCTCGCTGTGTGTCCTTGGGCATATGGCTTGACTTCTCTGGGCTTCCATTTCTACTTTCCTCCTACTCGTGTGCTATTGTCTTCCTGACTGGTCTCGTGTGATGGCTGCAAGGTTCAAATCAAAGATTATGAAGATGCATTAAAAAGCCCAAAGCACACTCAGGAGGCAAATGTGACTGGCATGTCCCCTGTGGTTTGGGTGCTAGGAGAGGCCCATGGCTGGGCAAATGACAGGGGGCACCAGGCAGTATATCTGGGAATGTCTGTTCAACATCCTGAGATTTCCCAGGAAGAACCCTGAGTGTCTTCTGGGGTGGGGCCACCATAGAGCCCGGCTGAGACCTGTGCCTCATGGGTGTTCCAGTTTGGATCCTGAGGTGCCTGGAGTCCTTGTAGCTCCCATGGGGGATAAAGAGTCCCGTGGTCACCTATGTGATGGGTATTGGCTAGGTGGTGATTTCGGGAGGGCTCAGACCCAGCATTCCACCTTCCTCACCAGCATCATCATCACCGCCATTATCACAACCACCATCACTTCCATCACCAGCATCCGGAGTCCTGGAGCTGGTCCCAGACGAGTTTAAAAGTCCTGAGGATGGGGGAGTGCAAAGCAGCCAAGGCTAGACCAGTGACCCTTCTCATCTGTTTGGGGTCATGAGGTTAAAGTTTGGAGGGTGGTCCCAGACGGAAAAAAGGTGCGTGTGAACAAGGTCTCCACTGTTGCCCTGAGCTTGTCATGGCGGGCCTAATGGGGAAGACGTATGGAAGGCTCAGGAAAGATGCTTTGCTACAAAAAAAAAACCAAAAAACAAAAAAAAAAAACAAAAAAAAACACCTCTGATATAGCTGATATAGCTCCCTCTGGGAGGTAGAGTCTCATTCTTTTTTCCATGGATGTGGCTGGACTTAATGACTGGCTGCTGACCTCCAGGGGTAGTGATGGCATGTGAGCTCCAAGGTGAGGTCATCAACTACATTGCCCCACCTTCCTTCCTGGCCTTACAGAGTGCGGGCCGTGGGAAGCCAGACACCCTAGGGCGTGGACACTTGGAAGCACCTTGCAAGTGGAGTTGTCCACCCCAGTGCAGCCTGTGTGTGCTCTTTCTGCTCCCATGGCTCGGCCTCTTCCAGCTGAGCCCAGGCATCACAGAGAGAAGCCACCACCCACAGGCTGTCCTGCATTCTGACCTATGGAATGGGCAGCTTCTTTGGGAATCTTCCGGGTGTCCTCATTCCAGCCCTGAGCCCTATTTCTGTGGATATGGAGGGCCCATGTTCTTAGCAGCAGCTTGGGGGAGCTGTTCACCCACTAGAGACTCAAACATACCATCTCAGCCATTCAGTATTCATGTTGTGGGCCAGCACTCGGAGGAAACCCGGGAGTGTCAGGAGCTGCCTGGTCAGTGAGTATTGCGAACTGTTGGGACATTCTCAGTGCCCTGCTGGGGTGGACATCTCTGCCGCAGCTGCCATAGGATGGGCAGGCTTGGAACCTCTGCTGTTCTGCCCACACTGGTCCATCAAGATGGAGACCTGTCTCCTGGTCCTGGCTCAGTTTCCCCAAAGCTTCCCTTAGTGTTCTGGCTTCCAGCAGACGTCAATTCCACAATAATTCCACAATGACCCTGCCTTCTCAACTTGGATTTCTTTGATTTGTTGGATACTGATGCCAAAGGTTTTTGTTTTTGTTTTTGTTTTTTTGACAGGGAACAGCTCTGGCTGTCCTGGAACTCGCTTTGTAGACCAGGCTGGCCTCAAACTCACAGAGATTCACCTGCCGATGCCTCACAAGTGCTGGGATTAAAGGTGTGTGGCACCTCCTCCTGGACACAGTTTGATTCTTTTACCTTTTCTTCCCCCAAGTTTATTTTTTGGGTAGCTCACGTGTGGTGATGTGTCCTTGTGCCCCCACCCCCACCCCAGTCCCACAAACACCCACTCCTGCTGCTCCTGACAAGTCCATGGGGATGAAGATTGAAGCTTTGATCTTCAGGCCTAACATGAAGCATCCCTTCTACCATGATCCAGGCCAGGATGCAGCCCTCCCCTCACCCGGAGTCCTAGAGCGACTGACAGTCGGTTGAAAGTCTCTTGACTCACCCCAAAGAGGCTGTGGTGTACATGGGGTCCTCATGCATAGACAGGGGCATGGGCCGCTTCCAAGGAGGGTACATTTGTATTTAGGATGCAGAGAGGTGAGGTTCTTCCTGGGGAAGCAGAGAAGACCTCATCAGTCGTGATGACCAAAACACACATTTCTGGGCTGGAAAGATCGCTCAAGTGTTATGAGCGCTGACTGCTCTTCCAGACCTGGGTTAAATTCCCAGCACCTACATGGTAGTTCACAACCATCTGTAACTCCAGTTCCAGGGGATCTCACATCTTCTTTTGGCTTCTAAGAGACATAGATGCACACATTAAAAAAAAACCAATTAATTGGAAGGAAAAAAAAACACCTCACGTCATCCATGAGGATGCAAGATGGAGTCTAGGGTCTTTTCTGGACATACAAATGCTAAGGCCACGCTGAGTGCAGGCACACATGGTGAGTGCGGCTGTAGTGTCTACATTCAGGAAGCTTCCAGGCTGTGGAGATGTGGGAGATGCTACTCAACTGGTCACAAAAACTTGCTGACTAGCATCAAATATAAAGACAATGGTTTGACTGTGTCCCCAGATGCAGACAGAGACTGTGCATTCATTTCCTGGTAACCCAGGCCTGAATAATCACACAAAACTATATCAATTACAATACAGCTTGGTCGATGGCTCAGGTGTATTTCTAGCTAGCTCTTGCATCGTAATTAATCCATTTCTATTGATTTGCGTGTTGCCACAAGGCTGTAAGATTCTGGTGTCTTTCTCCTTCAGCAGCTACATGGCATCCTCCTAACTCCACCTACTCTTTCTCTGTCTCTCTGTTTGGATTTCCCACCTGGCTTTATTCTGCCCTGCCATAGGCCAAATGGTAATAAAACATATTTACAACATTTAGCAGGGAATCTCACTTCACCCAGAGGTCTCGTGTAAGGAGCTTGGTGCCTTTAAAAGACAACATTGCACCTTCAGTCTGAACTGTCCCCACAGGTTTGTTTTGAGCATTTGGTCCAAAGGGATGGAGCTTTTTTGGTATGCCATGAAACCTTTGGGGGTGGGGATTGTCTGGCAGAGATGGGTCACTAGGGGCGGGTCTCTTGAAGGGTATGAGAACCCCTGGTTCTGAGTCACCCTCTGCTTCCTGTCTCTGACAGAGTGAGGAGACTAGTCACATGTTCTCACTGCCATGCTTCCCTGCCATCGTAGACTGAACCCCACTCGGAGACTGTGAGTCCAAACAGAACTTCCCTGCCATCGTAGACTGAACCCCACTCAGAGACTGAGTCTAAACAGAACTTTGCTTCACTTAGTTCCACTTCTGTCAGATATTTTATCCCATCAGGCCTTCACACTCGGTCCAGGACTCCATGGGACATGGCAGTCCTGCCTGGGAGGTATGAAGGAAGCTGGGGTGCATGCATTTATTTGAATGCATGCTTGCATGTGTATGGGTGTACCCCAGATATGTCCCACTCGGCAGTCAGACACTCCTAAGCAAGAAGATTCTGGACACAGCATAGGCATCTAGTTTCAGAAGCCAGTCTCCCAGCTCGGCAATGGCAGACAGGACTAACGCAGACAGTTGTGGGGGGAGAGTATCGTAAGGCACCCAGATGATGCTGGAAGAGTCTTACTGGAAACTTCTAAAGCCAAGGCCAGGATTAGAAACATGCAAGAACTAAGTCTGCTTCTCCAAGGAGTGGAGATTGGGAAAGAGAAGAAATACCCCATAGCCAGCCTTTCAGAGAGACCCTTCCAGGCCTCTAGAGGCAAAATCCAACTGTGTCCGAGTCTGTGTGTTTGAAGAACTAGTTTTAAGGCTATGTTAAGAATTATTGAGGGGTCTGTTAGTCTCAGGTTGGCTGTCCAGGAGAAGGGCAGAGAGGCCTCTTCTGTCTGGGGGCTGGAGATGCTGCGGCCAGGTGAAGTTCATTGGGAAAGGGACTGTCCCTGGAGATGTTGGGACCTTGGACTCGGTGGCCCCGGAGACGAGTTCAGTGCCCTTAGTGACTTTACCATAAGTATCTGGACAATGTGACCCAGACAGACTCTGTTTTTAAGATAAAAGCAAAGTGTGTCTCCTCTCTTTGCCCACATGTGGTCACCAGATGCTTTACTGCCCAGGGGACTTGGCACCTCAAGGTGTCTGTATATCTGGATGCTCCTGGGCTGGTACTCCAGTGTGGGTTCCATTGGATCCTACTCCAGACCACCTCCCGTTTTCTACTGCCTTAGGCTTAGCAGTCCTCTTCAGACCACTCCTTGGGCCCTGCCATCTGGCTGCCTTGTGGGTCTAGCCAGGGGCACAATCAGGAGATGGAGGGAGTGAAGATGCAGCACTGGTACTCCAGCTCCCTACTCTGGAGGCCCTAGGGTCCAGAGTCCCCAACTTTCACCCACAGCACCACTGTCTACGGGGGAAGGACAGGGAGTATGGGCCGTGCAAGCCCAAGGCAGCCAGGTACCGGCCCCCAACCTGAGCCTACATGCTTTCCACACCTCTGTGTGTGGACTGTTTGGTCAACCTCTCATGTCACCCATCCTGAATGTACCTTCTCAATCCTCCTGGGGTTTGGGGCACAGTTTGAGACAGCGAATTCAGGTACAAGGAGAATGTTTACAAAAGAATCAGGTTGGGAAGTCTGTGCTCATGACAGTGGTGTGCTGTGCTGTGTGTGTGTGTGTGTGTGTGTGTGTGTGTGTGTGGTGTGTATGTGCAGGGGAGCAGGAGGAGGGCCCTGCCCACTCCCAGATGTTGGTTGACTCCTACAGATGCTGGGGGCGGGGGTTCCCAACATTCCAGTTCTCTTGCATACCCAGTGTGGGTAGTGTCTTCTGGAGGCAGCCCAGATAAAGGAGGTGGAAGAAGAAAACTTCCCTTTCATCTGTTTGCTTCAGTCAGTCTCGTTGGCCAGTTCGTCTGTTCTGCTGCTGTGGCATGCTGTCGCTGATGGCACTGCCCAGCCTTTGTGGGTGTCTGTCATGGACTGAAGAGCCGAGGTTCCCTGGGAATCCTCCAGGACTCTAGCCCCAGACTGAGACAGCTGGGGCACTGGCCTTGTAGACTGAGGAGCCGGGTTCTTCATTCTCCAGAATGAAGACAGCCATTGTTGGACTATCAGACCATATTATGTGTAAGCAAACTAATAAATGCTTTTTAAATATATGTTCACTCTGTCTGTTCTGTTCTTCTAGAGAACCCTGACCAACACAGACAGAAATCCCCCACAGGGCTGTTATTTTTCTCAGCTGTATCATGGAAGTTTGCCCCAGAGCCCCTCCCTTCAATCACTGTGAGGGAGGGATGAGTCAGTGCCGGGCAAGTGCCAGGCAAGTGCCAGCTTTCGTCCAGTGGTCTGCCTTCCCAGTACCACTAGGGGGCGCCATGCTTCAGTTGCACGTGCACGTGTGTGCGTGCGTGCGTGTGTGTCTGTGTGTGTATGTCTGTGTGTCTCTGTGTGCGTGTGTATTCAGGGTGTGTGTGTGTGAGTGTGTATTCAGTATGTGTGTGTGCGCGTGTGTGCACACACACATGTGTGGTGCGTTTCTATTCAATGTGTGTGTGTGTGTACGTGTGTGTATTCAGGGGGTGTGTGTGTGTGTGTGTGTGTGTGTGTGTGTGTGTGTGTATTTAGGGCGGGGCCCTTCCACCTACCTCTCCTGCTCACAACTCAGGTTTTTGACCCTGATTTTATATCAGGATGGACACTGATTTCACAGGTTCGGAAGGAGACACCTAGCCTGTTGATCTCAGGGAACCTTTGAGACTGTGTTCTGTCTGTGTTCCGTGGGGCATATATACTTCAGCATCTCAACAAAAAACTGTTTGTGCACAGGTGTGTGCATGTGTACCCATGCACATCACTGTCTGTGTGCAAACTGTACCCGTGTGATCCCCTCCATCTGTTTATTCTCAGGGCAGGTGTCTGTCTCTTTGCCCTGCCCACTGCCTGCCTGCCATGTCGACCTCTTTAACGTCAGCAGCCAGTAAGCAACTCTCCCCTCCCCTACACCACCCAGGCCAGATCCAGGAAGAGTCGGGTCACCTGAGTCCCTTTCCTGCCCCCTCCCAGGATATGAATTTCCCCTAATGCCTGCTTTGCATGTCAGGATTCTGTTTATAGACCACCCCTAGGTAAACCTTCAGCCAAGGCACAGATGGGACTGGGGAGAGTGGGTACCTCATAGCCTGCATCAGCCACAGTAGCAAAGTGCAGCCCTGAGCATAGTCTCCCAGGGAACCCTTTCCCTTAAAGGAAGAAGGTAGCAGTTGCCTTCAGGGCTGAGGATGAGGGTGGACAGTGGGGAGCTGCCTGCAGGGGTGGGGGTGGGGGATAGAAAGTGGGCTTTCCATTTTCAGAGCTCCTAGAGTCAGCTCAGAAGACTAGATCCAACACTAGACTTGAGCATGTGGGCCCTTCCAGCGTCTGGCCATTTTCTGCTTTTGGAATGTTCTGGAAATATTACTAATGGACAGAGGGAGTCTTGGGAAGCAGAACCCCTTGCTGCAGGGAGGGGGTGAGGTGAGGGTGGGACAAGGTGAACTTGCCACAGCGCTTGCCGCATACCTCAGAGGGCTGTTGCAATTCTTTGTCTTTTCTTGCTCACTGTGGCTAGGTGAATCCATTTAGAGTGTCGTTTTCTTTCCCTACACAGAACTTCACAGTTTCAATAGATTTGCAATGCAGTCCCAGCACTCTTGCCCCTTGAAATGAAAATCCCATCTACACTGTCAGCCCTCGCCAGGGTTTGCCCCCATCCTACTTAATCCACAGGTCTCATAGTGATGCCTTGAAATGTGTTGAAGGGTTGAGTAAGCCTGGCCTCGGATCCTCTGAGTAGACCTGTTTCACAAGAAGGAGGATAGTTAGAGGAGATCCCGGTTTTACAGGAGATGAAGAAACGCAATCACGGCTGGCAGCTTCAGTCCAGGTCCAAGACTCCAACATAAGAATGTTTGAGTAGTGCGGTCTCTCCCTCCTGCCTTAGCCGTTTATTCTAATTGCTGTGTGGTTCCTCTTGCTTCTTCTGCCAAGCGCCTGACCCACGGCAGGTACTCTGTCAGTGTCGGCTAGTTGACAGACAGTGGGCAGGTGATGCACTTTTCCTT